GTGCGTGCGTGTGTCACTGTGTGCGTGCTAGCGCGTGCGTGCGTGCGTGTGTCACTGTGTGCGTGCCCGCGCGTGCGTGCGTGTGTCACTGTGTGCGTGCTAGCGCGTGCGTGCGTGTGTCACTGTGTGCGTGCTAGCGCGTGCGTGCGTGCGTGTGTCACTGTGTGTGTGCTAGCGCGTGCGTGCGTTTGTCACTGTGTGCGTGCTAGCGCGCGTGCGTGCGTGCGTGTGTCACTGTGTGCGTGCTAGCGCGTGCGTGCGTGTGTCACTGTGTGCGTGCTAGCGCGCGTGCGTGCGTGCGTGTGTCACTGTGTGCGTGCCCGCGCGTGCGTTCGTGTGTCACTGTGTGCGTGCTAGCGCGTGAGTGCGTGCGTGCGTCACTGTGTGCGTGCCCGAGCGCGCGTGCGTGCGTGTGTCACTGTGTGCGTGTGTTGCTGTGTGCGTGATCACACGGCTATGAAAATGTTAAAGATGTGAGCGCAGGTACATACGTCATAACACGTCATATTCCTGATGCGGCCATGTTGTTTCAACCCTGACATGTACGGGTGTTGCTATCCCCCGGGCGTGGAGGGACGGTCACGTGATACAGTTGACGTATACTTCAAAACTTAAGGGTGTTGCTATCCCCCGGGCGTGGAGGGACGGTCACGTGATACAGTGAAAAACTCTAACCCTAACCCTAACCCTAACCCTAACCCTAACCCTAACCCTAACCCTAACCTAATACTAATACTAATACTAATACTAATACTAATAATATTAATCCTAATACTAGTGCTGCCACGTTGCGGTGTCCCTCCACGCCCGGGGGATAGCATTACCCGACATGTACCCACGATGTGACCTACATCTTACATTCTACATACTACTTGCACGAGTTAAACGTCGATTAGCGATTTATTGAATTGGGAGCAGGCGTCCCCGGCACGGGCTAAACACTCACAATTATCACACACGCATGACATAGATGACGAAGTAAGTCACGGTATACATGAAGACAGGATTACTCTACGATATATAATAGACGCATTATATAATTATACCACTATATATATATAAATCAAGAGTACATAATAGAGAGTACATAGTACATATACATAGTACATCTTTATTATGTACTCTTGATATAAATGCACACACACACACACACACACTAAGCGGCTGCGTGGTCGCGACCTCGCCACGCCCTCTTCAGTCTGGTTAGATCCAGGTAGCGGTTACGTCGCGTTGATCCGTTGGTGTCTGCGCGTAAGGAAGCTTGATGTATTATATTCGATCAGAGTCTTTAAATAAGTGAACGTGCGTACGCGCGTATACACGCAAGTTGACAATTTTAGCCAAATACAATAGACGCGCACGCACGGTGCCACGCGCACGCACTACACACGACGCACACGCACTACACGACCCCGACACGCGACACGCACACGACACAACACACACACGACACCGACATCACACACACACACGCCACACACACACACCACACGCACGCACGCACACGCACACCGCGCGACTCGCACCGCACACGCCAACCCACC